CCAGGAACTTGGTTCAGGTCTACTGTTTAGGGTTTAGGGTTTGGGGTTTAGGATTTAGGGTCTAAGGTCTGGGGTTTAGGGTTTAGGTATACGCGGAGGTCCTTTCCAATCCCTGCCAACATGGGTCGTGCACGTACTCGTGGCTACTGCTCTCCCTTGCTGCTAAACCCCGAGCTCTGCGTAAAGTGACCGGATTAGGGTTTAGGGTTTAGGGTTTAGGGTTTAGGGTTTAGGGTTTAAACAATATCAGCCCTCAAGACCAAAAGCCCTGAAACCCTAGACATCCTAATCCATCCTAAGCTATATTACAGATCCCTAAAGTCCCGAAAATTCCAGAGTTCCCGGCCCTAAACAGTTTAGGGTTTAGGGTTTAGGGTTTAGGGTAGTCCCCGGCCCTAAACCCTAACTAAAGCTCTAAATGGTTTCCAGGGTTCAAGGGCTTGTAGGCTTTATAGGGTTTAGGGTGCATGAATTGCGCTTAATGAAAAGAAGCTTGGGGTTCAGGGTGTAGGACTTGGTTTTCCGAAGCCTAAACCCCGAAATTATGGGCCCTTTCCAGGTACCGATTATAAGGCGGAACCCTTTGCAGGGACCCCAAAAGGGTCTAGGGTTTAGGGAACCCTAAACCCTAAACACCAAAAGAGAACTACCCATGTAGTGCCTAGGACCGAAGGAAACCTAAAGCCCTCGTCAGGCCCGAGAAAAGGTTTAGGGTTTAGGGTTTAGGGTTTAGGGTTTAAGGTTTAGGGTTGAGGGAGAGGGAGTCGGGCTTAGGGTGCCTTGAAACCCTAAGCCCTGAACCATCAAGCCCCCCCCCCCCCCCCCAAAAAAAAAAAAAACAAGAAACATAATCACCAAACCCGCCCCCAAGCCTTGTAGAGCCCGACCAGGTTGGATGGCTGGCGCAGAAGAGGTTTGGGGTTCAGGGTTTTAGGGGTTTGGTACCCTAAACCCTAAACCCTAAACCCTACACCCCCCCTCCCCCCACTCTACTTTGGAGGCTTAAAGGGCTCCGGAGTTCGGGGCGTAGGGGGTGTCGGATCTTGCATAGGGTCCAGTCGGAATCGGGCTCAAGGGCATTTTCAGCTTTGGGATTCGGGGTTTAGGGTTTAGGGTTGAGGGGTCAGGGCCGAGGGTTGAAAGTTTCCGGTGTAGAAGATGTTATTTAGTTCAGGCGGTAGGTTTGTTTAGGGGGTTCCGGGTTCAAGGGTCTGGGTGTTTTTGGTTCAACAAGGGCCGAAAGGTCTTTCAGGGCAAACCTTGCAGCCGTTCAAAAACTTCACTAGAGCCTCAACCCTAAACCCTAAACCCGTAAAGGATTAAAGGAGTGACCAAAAAAGGGCCTGGGGGTTTGTGGTTGGGCGTTCAGGCTCTGGGGTTTAAGGGATAAGCAGTCAGGATTTGGAGAGTCAGTGTTGGGGGGTACTCCCTAGACTGGCACTTGAAACCCTCTGCAGAATATTCCTAACCAAATAGCATCCTCTTAAGCCCAAGAAGGGAGATATAAAGCATCCCAAGCGCCTACCTAAGGTTTAGGGTTGAGTTTAGGGTCTAGGGTTTAGGGTTTAGGGTTTAGGGTTTTAGGGTTTAGGGGTTTTAGGGGTTTAGGATTTAGGGTTAGGGTTTAGGATTTAGGGTTTAGACTCCTCAACCCCGCTCATTGCCCAGGCAACTCAGCCGATTGCGGAACGGACTTTGGGTTGCAGGGTGGAAGGCTGTTTGGGTGTTCAGGGCCGTTTAGGGTTTAGGGTTTAGGGTTTAGGGTTTAGGGTTTCGGGTTTCGGGTTTCGGGTTGAGGGTTTAGGGTTTGGAGTCAGGTCACTAGGTCGTAGGGTTTGGGGGGCCTAGAGTCCTTGATGGGATGTAGGCATCATCGTCGAAATCATGTGGTCGCACAAATCACCAGCCTTTCTGCGCAGGCAGCGCGATGAGACGGTGTCAGAAAGTGAACTTCAAAACATTGGGGCCCCTTTGCTCAGCATGGGCTGAGGGTTTATAGGGTTGTTTGGATGGATGCACTCAAGCAGGGTAATTAAGATACTTAAGCCTGGAAGCACTTCCTGTATAGTGACTTTGGGGCCCAAGAATAACTTGTGAGAAGGGGCCCTAAGGTAACCTAGGGCCCCAAACTTAAGGGTTCGAATTTCTAGGGTTCCAAGCACAGGCCCGTAATTTGGGTCCGCTGTTATATATAACCTTGAAAAAACACTATACATAATAAGGCCCTAATTAGGGCCTTACTTCGGATCCCTATAACTTACTGGCCCAAAACCCAAGGAAATAAAAGTTTAAACTTTCAGAATAAACTACCTTATAAGAAGCCCAAAAGTTGAAAAGTTGGGTTTTGAGCCAGTAAGATAACAGCACCAACCTACGGGAGCAGGTCTGAGCCTTCGGGCTCGAGGTGTTTCAAGGGGCGCGGTTTAGGGTTTAGGGTTTAGGGTTCTCAAAGGGACCCTCCTGATGCCGAGAAACCTTTGTCAGGAGCGATTCGCTTCTGATGCCCTCTGGCGACGAGCGCTCGTCGTTTAGGGCAGCTCGCGTTCCGGAGGACCCTACAAGCCTCTCGGGCTTAGCTTTGTACAGGCATACGGGCTTAACTACTTACTGCTTCTTGGGGAATGCAGGGACTTAACCTATATCATAGAAGGAATTACAGCACCTAGTTCCCAATTTTCGTTTAGGGCCCGAGTTCAGCTGGTCCCAAACCCCTAAAAATAGGGGGTTCAGGTTTGCCGTTTGAGAACCCTGAGAGCCCATTAATTACCCCGTAATTGAGGAATTATTCCGGGAAACCCTAAACCCTAAACCCCAAACCCTGAACCCTAAACCCTAAACCCTCGAAACCCTAGACCCTAACCCCTGAAATATCGGTTCTTGGCCTCCCCGGATGTACAGCCCCCTTCAATCCCAATGTGTGCTTACCAACTTATTACCTAAGGGTTGAGGGTTCAGGTTTTGGGGGTTTGGGGCTTAGAGTTTCGGGTTTAGGGTTTAGGGCTTAGGGTTTCGGGTTTAGGGTTTTAGGGCTTAGGGTTTCGGGTTAACCGCCAGCTTTTGGACAAACAGACCCTTGGTTTTGTGCTAAATATCTTCGCCTGGGAGCGGGGTACTAACTAGAGCCTCTACCATCTGCTTTGTCCGATGGGTATGCTCTAGGAAGTCCGTCCACCTTTCCCTGCTGTCTCATGTTTTGTTTGTTTTGGCTTTATCTCTTGGACGAGTGATGCAGTTGCAGCCAGCTTGTGCTACCTGAACAGAACAGAACAGAACCCAAAACCCCAAACCCCAAACCCTAAACCCTCAACCCTAACAGGTTTTGGGGCATAGGGTTTTACGCGCACCCTCACGCGTCGGACATCTCCTTCTCCTTCCGGTTGGCCCTGCTGTTTCTGAGCATCTCATCCTTGCGTCGCAAAGGGCTTCACGTGGTTTAGGGTTCGGGGTTTGGGGTTTATAAGGGTTTAGGGTTTAGGGTTAGGGGACTTACGGGGTTCAGGGTTCTCCGTTTGGGGTTCGAGTTTAGGGGTTTAGGGTTTAGAGTTCAGGCTCTAGGGTTTAAGGTTTAGGGTTTAGGGTTTAGGGTCTCCGTGAGCCCTACACGAAAGCTTTGCTTTGGGATTTGACCAACCCTTTGGATGCTCAGGGTTTAGGGTTTATAGGGTTTATAAGGTTCAGGGTTTAGGGTTTAGGGTTTCAGGGTTTCAGGGTTTCAGGGTTTCAGGGTTTCAGGGTTTCAGGGTTTCAGGGTTTCAGGGTTTCAGGGTTTCAGGGTTTCAGGGTTTCAGGGTTTCAGGGTTTAGGGTTTAGGGTCTCGGGTGTAGCCGTGCGCGCGCGCATGGGGAAGACAGCGCAGGGCTGAGTCGTCGGGGATTAGGGTTTAGGGTTTAGGGTATAGGGTATAGGATTTAGGGTTTAGGGTTTAGGGTTTAGGACCTAGTATGGGGGTCGGAACAATTACTAATAGTATTCCCTTAGGATTCGGGGTTTAGGGATCCCATCATGACCCCAAAACCCTCTTCTAATTCTTCAGGCACCCACATTAGTTGTTTAAGGGTTTGGGGCTTTGGTTTTAGGAATTTGGGGTTTAGGGTTCAAGGTCCAGTTTTTTAGGGATAAGGGTTTAGTTTAGCAATTTAGGGTTAAGGGTCTAGTAATTTAGGGTTTAGGCCTTAGGGTTTAGGGTTTATAAGCCTTAGGGTGTAGGAATTGAGGGTTTAGGGTTCTGCCTTAGGGCAAGCGGCAGCCTGCTTCTGCTCTTACTCCCCTTCGGCCGGACCTCCCTACGCTCTCCGCCTAAACCCTGAACCCTGAACCCTAAACCCTAAACCCTGAACCCTAAACCCTAAACCCTAAACCCTAAACCCTAAAACCCTAAAACCCTAAAACCCACAGAGGTTTTCTTGGACTCAGGGCTTGAAGGGTTTGACAGCGATTCCCAGGCCATGAGGCGGGTTCGGGGTTTAGGGTTTAGGGGTTTGGGGTTTAGGGGTTTGGGGTTTAGGGTTGAGGGTTACGGCTAGGGGTTAGGGGTTTAGGGTTTAGGTTTTAGAGGCCATGAGGGTTTTGCGGTTTCAGGGTTTCGGGGCTTCGGGCAGCAGAAATTCTTTGTCCAACGTCAGCTGCTCACCATCGATGCCACTCCCTACACGCCGGGCAGCCTCTCTAAGCCCTAAACCCTAAACACTAAACCTAAACCCTAAACCCTGAAAGAAACTGAGGCCCAGAGCTCTGGGCAGCATCATTCTGAGCCTTGCCAAGTGCACACTTTGTAGTGGCACCGGCGTTCTGCTCAATGCTTCCATGCAGGATCCCCGCCGTCCGGTGCGATTGCATGCAATGGTGATCGAGTCTCTAGCTGCCTGCAGAAAGCCACGCAGGAATGCAGGGCAGGGATCCTATAGTGAGAGAGAGATACAATTAAAATTGCCACTCGACCTGCTACACGAGTGGCGGCCCTGCGGCGACTTGGGTGTGAGGAGGACGCCCCTCCTCGGCCTTCAGCGCTTTGGAGCTCGGTCCGCCCGCTCCCTCTCCTTCTCCTGCTGCTTGCGCCAGGCCACCGCCTGCTTCCAGGCCTTCTCCACCTCCTTCTCCGAATAGTCCTTGGGCCGGAACCTCATGTTCCTCGTCCTGCCACCGACCTTGCAACATGCATGCCAGGCCTTCTCTCCGGGGCTCCACTTCACCCCCTTCTCCGGCCCGAGCGGCTCGAAGTGCGGGACCTCCGCGAGCCGGTCCACCGGCACCACCCCGCCCTCGGCTTGCAGCCCGAGCTTCTTGGCCAGCTCCCGCGCCTTGGCCTCCGCCTCCGCCAGCGTCTTGAAGGTGCCCCCGAATTCTAGCTTCTTGGTGCGGGGATTCGTGAGTTTCACCTGGAAGTTGCTCTGATTAGAATGGGAATGGACCCCCCTCACCGTGGAACGGGTGGTTCTCCCGGTCACGGGCTTCGGGGGCTTCAGCTTGCCCTGGCGCACCAGCTCCTCGCGGTGCGCCTTGGCCTCCGCCAGCGCGGCCGCCACGGCCTCGTCCTCGGAGAGGCCCTCCTTCATGTGCTTGGAGATGAAAAAATGGACCTGCTGCCGCTTGCCTGCTTGCGTGCTGGTGACGCACCAGCATGCCTTGTCCTGTTTCCAGCAGATGTTTTCCACCCCGCTCTGGCGCTCCAGGCCGCGGAAGCTCCTCGTAATAACTTGGCCGGCGGCCCCGGAGCTGCTCGGAGCCGAAGCGCCGGCGGCTTCCTGGCTTTCCTCTGGCACGGTGCCGAAGGCCTCGAAGATCTCGAGGCCCTTCATGGCGGAGCCGCCGCCCGTGGGCGAGAGCCTGCGCATGCCGTCCTCCTCCACCAGCCAGCCGTGGCCGGCCCAAGCCCGCGTCGGAAGGTCGTGCATCCAGGGCCACATCTTCATCATCTCGGCTGCACGGTGCTGCTTCGCCGCTGGATCCTGCAAGTGCTCAAGTTGGGGACCGTGCGCCTTCTCCACTGGCCCTGAGCCGCCGCGGTCCTTGCCGTGATCATTGAAGAGGGCATGGTGCGGGTACTCGTGGAAGAAGTCGCGGAACTCGCAGAACTGCATCTTGCTGAGGCGCTGCACGCAGGCAGTTGCCTCATTCTCCGGGCATCCTTCCCACGCGGCAGCTGCCAGCCCGAGGAACGGGCTGGCGGGGCAGCAAGGCTTCGTGGGCAGCCACGTCTTGCCAGAGGATTGAAATGCTAGGCATTTCTCGGCCCACTCTGGCAGTCGCGACTCAAACGATGGAGGCGAGATGTCCGGCCTCTTGTGACTGATGCGGCGCCTCTTGCTGGGACGAACAGACACCGCCCCTTCGGCTTCTTCCTGCTTGACCGAGAACGTGGGCTCAGCTTCCTCCACACACTCCCGCTTCACTCTGGTCCTGAGCGAACTTCTGTATTGAACTTTGCGCAAGTAGTGCATAGAATGGTTACACATGATGCCATGCAAGATCCCATCTTTCAAGGTGTAGATTCCGGCTTCTTTCAATACGCGGGACAGGCGTCACAGTGTACCATGTGTGCAAACGTCAAGAAGGCTGTCACATACATAAGCAGCATCCATACCCGTTGAGTCTCAGAAGAACTACCAGTTTTTTTCTCCATCTAAACTCTCCGACCTGAATCCCAGACAAAGCTGAGCAGCGACTGGCTGTTCCATGTGAGGTCCTGAAACAACCTAAACCCTAAACCCTAAACCTTAAAAACCCTAAAAACCCAAAAAAAAACCTAAAAACCCTAAAAACCCCAAAAACCAAACTGGCTCTGCATCCCGAAGCTTGCATTGGCGGTTTGGGGGGATCCTTTGTCAGTTTTACTTGTTACCTTGGGGACTAAATGAACCCTAAAAGGGTTTATGGTTCATATACCTTAATAGGAATTATAGTACTCAGGCAGTACTCAGGGTATATGACCCCAATTTTAAGGTTCATTTCGTCCCTAAGGTATTCTGTTTCCCCAACTGCGGTTAGACACTCAACTGCAACGCAAACTGGCAGGCAGCCTCCCGCTTGATCTCGCGCTTCACTTCTTGCTTTACCTCTTTCTTGATCTCCGGCAACACCTCCTCTGAGAACGCACGCAGCACACGGCATGGGGTTCTCATGCTCAACGAGACGACGGCGATATGTTCTACTCAATCAATGCTTTAACAATCGTGAGCGATAGATGCCTCGTTATGAGCATTCGGTGCAAGGCTCGAGGACATCAGTCCAGTCTTACAGAAAAGGAAATTTCCGAAAACAACAGAGTAGACTCTGGCCGGCCCACACATAAATTATTTGATACTATTTGAGTCTCGTAAAGCTTAGGGTTTCGGCTTAAGGCGTTGTTTGTGAACGCAATGTTTTTGAATGGGTGCGGGCCGGCAGCCCACACAAGTTGAGAAAGTGCTGGACTTAAAAACTTAAGCTTTCGCCCTGTTCAACTCCCCTCTCCCCTAAAGAACCTCCTCAACGCATTCGGGGGGCCAATCAAACGGGCTGCAACGAGTGCTTAAACCCTAAACCCTAAACCCTAAACCCTAAACCCTAAACCCTAAACCCAAACCTGCAGGTTTTCTTTGTTTTTCGGCGGGTGCAGGCCGGCAACCCACAAAAGCTGAAAATCGCAGGATTTGAAGAGCTCACCCGGGTTTAGGGTTTAGGGTTTTAGCGGGTTGAGGGTGAAAGCTTCAAGCCTCGGGCTTCTCACTTTCAGCATCAAGTTTAGGGTTTAGGGTTTAGGGTTTAGGGTTTAGGGTTTAGGGTTTAGGGTTTGCTCGACCGGAGGCCCAAAATCCAGCAATCCTACACCAAGCCCACACGAGGGTGATGCGGCTACCGGCCATCAGGGGTGCAAAGGCTGTGCTTGAAGCGCCTCCTCCATCACTTCGTCCTTCACCTCCGTCTTCACCTGCTGCACGTCGTCCATCACCTCTTCTTTCACCTCATCCTTCACTTCCTCCTTCGCATGCTCCCTCAACTCACCCTTCACCCCCTTGATTTTACCCGACTCGCTCTCCTGCTTAACCTTTTGCGTCGCCCTACTTGTCGTCTCCTGTTCCGCCTTGCACGTCCCGTTCTTTACTTCCTCCTTCACATCCATGCTCGATGCTTTTTTCGTGACGCTTGCCACCTCCTCCTGCATGTCGCGCTCCACCTGCGGCGGCGGACATATCGAACGGATGTGAAAGGCGGCAAAAAGACCCGACTGTAGACTGCAAAACCAGAAGAAAGAAAGAGCAGCAGATCCTTTAGAAAGAGTTTCACGAGGAGCCCAGCATTTTGCCGCCTCCCGCCTCTTGCTTTCTGTCCTTCTTTACCTCCACTGCGCTTTTCTCCGGCTCCTTCTTGGCATGCTTTGCCAGCTCCTGTGCTCAGCTGGATGGGCAGCTGGATGGGCAACAAGATGTCAGAGCATGCATGCTCTCAGCCTCAAAGCCTCAGGGGCCTTTAGGGTTTAGGGTTTAGGGTTTAGGGTTTAGGGTTTAGGGTTTAGGGGTGGGGACAAGCCCTGACCCCTACACCCTGATTCCCGTTTTCCAATGCTCTAAGCACACCGAAGGCCCCTGATTCACAACCCATGACTCGGGTTTGGAAACCATCCAGCCCAGGGCGGTGTAGGGAGGGGAGGGGGGGGGGGGGACGCTTATAGAATTTACTAGTTCGTTGCAACTGCTGCAACTTACTCCACGAAGTCAAGGGTAAGTACCACCTCATGAGACGCTCATTTCTTGACATTCCTTGTACGCGAGGTTCCGGATGCAGGTGAACTGGAAAGCTAGCTAGGGAGTACCGTTTAGGGATTAGGGTTTGGGGCTAGGGTTTAGGGCTTAGGTTTTAGGGTTAACAGGGTTTAGGGACCCCCCTGGTTTAGGGCTTAGGGTTTATCGAGTTTAGGGACCCCAAAGCCCAAAGTTGCAGCTCCTGCTTGACTTCTTGCTTTGTGCCAGCTGCGCCGGAGACATCCTGCGCCGTCTGCTGTAGGGTGCAATGCTGGCCATGGGTTTAGGGTGTAGAGGGGCTTAGGGGGCTTAAGGCTCAGAGTTGAGAGTTTAGAGTTTAGAGTTTAGGGTTTAGGGTTTAGGGTTTAGGGGAACTCTACACCATCCGACCCCCAGACCCTACACTTACTCGTTCTGAATTGGTCGCTAAGGCACTTCTAATCCTGTTCGAGGGGTCACTTAGGGCACCTACTTCCCTGAGTCAAACTAGATTCAGAAATCAGCAAGTAGCTTCGGTGGATTTGGGCCCTAAACCCAAAACCCCAAACCCCCAAACCCTAAACCCTTGTACACGGGCTATCTGGGGATTTGGGCCCGGAGAAGACAACTGCCTCTTGTTGTGGGGTTGGCTTAATCAGGGCTTAGGGTTTGGGGGTTGGGCTTCGGGGTTACCCGAACCCAAGTCCTAGACCCTATAATCCCAGATGCTGTGGCGGTTGCCTGGCCTGCTCCTTCTTGATGTAGCCACTCACAAGCGGGGAGACATTGTCAACCTGCCCCGGGAGCATTGCTGTGTTTAGGGCACACGGTGGCCCCGCCCTCATAATCTCAAAGAGGACCGGCAACCATGTATCACCTTTGGAAGTCATCTACGCTGTCAACCCCGTAAACCCTTAACGCGTAGGTTTACACCCTCCTCCCAAACCTGCACTCAGGGATGGAGGCCAGCACCCGAGGGGGAGGTCGCCTAAAGAACAAGAGCCGACGCCCGAATGGCCCGAAGAATATCAGCTGCCACCCCAAAACCCTAAGCCCTAAGGGTTTGCTTGGGGTTTAGGGTTTAGGGTTTGGGGTTTAGGGTTTAGGGTTCAGGGTTAGGGTTTGGGGTGTAGGGCCTAAGCCCTACCCTAAGGGCTTACTTAAAGGCTCATGGGTACGTTTAAGCAGGGTTACAAGTGGGGTAACTATGGTTACAAACTTAGGTACCCATGAACCTCCAAGTAGGTTTAGGGTCCGAGATGTGAAGGGCTCAGCATCAAACCTGACTCCGAGAGCCAGCGCTCGCACTTTTAACCCTAAACCCCAAACCCCAAACCCGAAACCCTAAACCCTAAATCCTAACTTCCTTTAGAAGTCCAAATGCCATCTAAGCCTTGGTTGGGGTTTAGGGTCTAGGAGTTTAGGAATTGGGGGTTTTATAGGGTTTGGGATGTTCCAACTTATACTAACAGTCCTTAATAGGGATTCCAGTACCCCGTATTATCATCCCGATGAAGGACTGCTAGCATAAGGGGGAACATCCCAAGTTTTAGAGTTTGGGATTCGCTCTGTAGGTCACGGTTCAGCCCAACCTGTTGGCAAGCTCTATCTAAGCTCTGAAACTCCAAGCCACTACAAGCCCAAGCCTCCCAACACTAAACCCTAAACCAGGATCAAACCCTGAACCCTAAGGGTCCTAAACCGCCTAAACCCCTACAAACCTAAACCCCCCTCAAAAAAACCCGCAAAACCCAAAAGACCCTTAGGCCCCTACTTAGCGCCTAGGGTTTTGGTGTCTGTAGGGCTTGGGGGACCTTAAATGCCCTGCAAGTACCCCCAAACCGGATCAGGCCTGCCGTTGCTTGCGCACGCGCTCTCGTTGTGGTTTGGCCAGCTTGATCGAGAGCACCGTCACCTCAGGGTCTGGGCAGAAGGGTTGGGCATTTTCGGGCACTGGGCTTGGGTCTTGAGGGCTTACAGGTTTCGGGGGTAGGGTTTGAGGCTTGGGCTTTGGAAGCCCTAAGGACCAGTCTTTAGGGGGTCTTCTGGGCTTAGGAGGATTCTCTTCTGGTTCCTGGGGTTGGGGATTTCGGGGTTTCGGGGTTTCGGGCTTTTGAGTAAATTCAGTACCAGAAAGACCGAGGACAAAGGCTAGGGTGGACGCTTCAGGCTCAGGGTTTAGGGTTTAGGGTTTCGGGTTTAGGGTTCAGGGCAACCGAGTCGCCACCGCGGACGCCATCTCTGCAACTGGGCAAAATCCGGGCCGCTGAATGGCTGCGAGCTGCGGGCTTCAAAGAGAATTCGACTATACGGCATTCGCTGTTTCCCGGAGAGGCCCGAAGTAACATAGGCCCAAGAATCCTTTTCACCGAAGCCCTAAACCCTAAACCCGAATTCGCGCTCGACGATTGTGTGCCACGTTTTTTTTGGCTTATACGTAAGGTTTCGGGTATAGGGCTTAGGGCAGTTCAGTAGTAATTCCTACCGTTTCCTTACAGAGCTGTTCAACTCTGAAGGGTCTTAGGGCCTAGCTAGCAAGAACACCCTAAACCGCGCTTCAAGCTTCCGGGTTTTAGGGTTTAGGGCTTAGGGTATAGGGCTGAGGCCCCTACAGTGATGAACCCTACCGTTTCCCCCACAGGTGCTCCATTCTGAAGGGTTTAAGAGCCCTGGGTTTAGGGCCACCGTGAAGCAACAATCTATATGGACACTGGACCTGCAACACCGAAACCATAAAAAGGCTGGAGGACGCCGAGACAGGGTTTAGGGATCATAGTAGGGGTTTAAGGGTTTAAGGTTATAGGGCTTAAGGGCTTGGGGGTTTTAGGAAAGTGCCCCCGCACTTCTGCCTTAGGGCAAGCGGCAGCCTGTTTCTGCTCTTCCTCCCCTTCGCGCCGAACCTCCCTACACTCTCCGCAACCTTCAATAACCCTAAACCCTAAATAACCCTAAATAACCCTAAATAACCCTAAATGACCCTAAATAACCCGAAATAGCCCTAAATAACCCTAAATCCAAAAAACACCGAAACGCAGACATGGCACCCTTGGGCCGTTTAGGGGACCCTCACAGGCCTTTCACGGGGACTCTGAGGGGCTTAAGAGGGGCTTCTCTTGCACTCAGGGCTTGTAGGGTTTGGGGGCGATTCCCAGGCCATGATGAGGTGGGCTTAGGGTTTAGGGTTTAGGGTTTAGGGTTGAGGGTTTAGGGTTTAGGGTTTTGGATTTAGAGGCCATGAGGATTTTGCAGTTGTAGGTTTCGGGGCTTCGGGCTGTATCAATCCTTCGTCCATGTCTGCGCAAGCTTTGCCAACGTCACCACCGATGCCACTCCCTACACGCCCAGCCTCAGCAAGCAAGTAAGCAGTGCTTACATGCAGGATCCCTGCCTTTCGGTGCGACTGCATTGCAATGGTGATGGAGTCTATAGCTGCCTGCAGAATACCATGCAAGGCAGGGATCCTATAGTGAGAGAGAGATGAGATTAAAACTTGCCACTCGACCACACGAGTGGCGGCCCTAAGTGCGGCGACTTGCTTATCAGGAGGACGCCCCTCCTCGGCCTTCAGCGCTTTGGAGCTCGGTCCGCCCGCTCCCTCTCCTTCTCCTGCTGCTTGCGCCAGGCCACCGCCTGCTTCCAGGCCTTCTCCACCTCCTTCTCCGAGAAGTCCTTGGGCCGGAACCTCATGTTCCTCTCTTTCCCTCCCACAGTCGTTCTTGCACGCCAGCCCTTCTCTCCGAGGATCCACCTCACTCCCGGCTCCGGCCCGAGCGGCTCGAAGTGCGGGGCCTCCGAGAGCCTCTCCACCGGCACCACCTCGCCCTCGGCTTGGACCCCGAGCTTCTTGGCCAGCTCCCGCGCCTTGGCCTCGGCCTCCGCCAGCGTCTTGAAGGTGCCACCATCCTCCCTCTTCTTTGTGCGCGGATTGCGCATTTGGACCCGAAAGGTTCCTCCAGTGTTGCTAATTACGCCTCTCAGCGTGGTACCGGTGGCTCTGCCCATGACGGGCCTCGGGGGCTTCAGCTTGCCCTGGCGCACCAGCTCCTCGCGGTGCGCCTTGGCCTCCCCCAGCGCGGCCGCCACCGCCTCGTCCTCGGAGAGGCCCTCCTTCATATGTTTGGAGATGGGGAAGGTGATCCTCTGCCGCTTGCCGCCTTCCAGGACAGACAGCTGCCAAAGGCCCAGCTTGTGCCAGCAGATGCCCTGCACCCCGCTCTGGCGCTCCAGGCCGCGGAACCTCTTCGTAATGACCTGGCCATCGGCCCCTGAGCTGCTCGGAGCCGAGGCGCCGGCGGCTTCCTGGCTTTCCTCGGGCGCGGTACCGAAGGCCTCGAAGATCTCGAGGCCCTTCATGGCGGAGCCGCCGCCCGTCGGCGAGAGCCTGCGCATGCCGTCCTCCTCCACCAGCCAGCCGTGGCCGGCCCAAGCCCGCGTCGGAAGGTCGTGCATCCAGGGCCACATCTTCATCATCTCGGCTGCGCGGTGCTGCTTCGAAGCAGCTGGATCCTGCAAGTTCTCAGGTTTGGGACCGTGCGCCTTCTCCAACGGCCCTGAGCCGCCGGGGTCCTTGCCGTGATCATTGAAGAGGGCATGGTGCGGGTACTCGTGGAAGAAGTCCCGGAACTCGCAGAACTGCACCTTGCTGAGGCGCTGCACGCATGCCGTTGCCTCATCCTCCGAGCATCCTTCCCACGGGGCAGCTGCCAGTCCGAGGAACGGGCTGGCGGGGCAGCAAGGCTTCGTGGGCAGCCACGTCTTGCCAGAGGATTGAAATGCTAGGCATTTCTCGGCCCACTCTGGCAGTCGCGACTCAAACGATGGAGGCGAGATGTCTGGCCTCTTGTGACTGATGCGGCGCCTCTTGCTGGGACGAACAGACACTGCCTCTTCGGCTTCTTCTTGCTTGACCGAGAACGTGGGCTCAGCTTCCTCCACACACTCCCGCTTCACTCTGGTCCTGAGCGAACTTCTGTATTGAACTTTGCGCAAGTAGTGCGTGGATAGCCAAGTAGCGCTACATGGTTACACATGCTGCCATGCAAGATTCCATCTTTCAAGGTGTGGATTCCGGCTTCTTTCATTACCGCGGACAGGCGTCACAGTGTCCAAAAGCTTGGAAGGAGCCCTAGATATGCTTTGCCCAAAAGGGGGTTGGATGACTGCTTGTAGTGTGCAAGGGCTTGGGGTTTGTCTCTTAGAGTGGGAGACAAGTACTTCAGACATCTTGTCGTCTCTGAAATACCTTGCCATCTTGCAGCTTCTGCACTCTGCAAACATCAAGAAAGCTGTTGCACACGAAAGCAGAATCCACAACAGTTGAGTCTCAGAAGAACTGCTAAGTTCAATCTAAACGCTGTGACCTGTATCCCAGACCTCACAAGGCTGAGCAGCGTCTGGCTGTTCCTCGTGAGGTCCTGAAACAAACGGTCTCTGCATCCCGAAACTTGCATCGGTGGTTTGGATTTCTCTGTCAGGCATACTGCTACAATATGCTACAATATTGTGTTTCCCCAACTGCGGTTAACCATGAAACTGCAACGCAAACTGACAGGCAGCCTCCCGCTTGATCTCACGCTCCACTTCTTGTTTTACCTCTTTCTTGATCTCCGGCACCATCTCCTTTACGAACGCACGCAACACACGGCATGGGGTTCTCATACTCACAGAGACGACGGCAATATGACTCGCGGGCATTCAGTGCAAGGTTCGAGGACAACAGTCTAGTCTTGATACAAGAAAGCTTCAAAAAACAAGAGATTAGACTCTGGCCGGCCCACACAAAACGTTACTTGAGACTCTCGTGGGCTTAGGGTTTCAAGCTTTAAGAGGTTTAAGGGAACGAAGCATTGTTTTTGAACGGGCGCGGGCCGGCAGAAACCCCTTTCAGACCCTTACCAGGACTCCAACTTTCTTTTCTTACAACTTGCGGGTCTGAAACTCTGGCCCAATTCCCAGCAATCCTACGGTCCTACATCAAGGCCACACGAGGGTGATGCGGCTACCGGCTATCAGGGGTGCAAAGGTTGTGCTTAAAGCGCCTCCTCCATCACCTCGTCCTTCACCTCCGTCTTCACCTGCTTCACGTCCTCCATCACCTCTTCTTTCACCTCATCCTCCACTTCCTCCTTCACATGCTCCTTCGACTCCCCCTTCACCCCCTTTATTTTACCCGATTCGCTCTCCTGCTTAACCTTTTGCGGCACCCTCGTTGTCGTCTCCTGTTCCGCCTTGCACGTCCCATTCTTTACTTCCTCCTTCACATCCATGCTCGATGTTTTTTTCGTGACGCTTGCCACCTCCTCCTGCATGTCGCGCTCCACCTGCGGCGGCGGACAAATCGAACGGATGTGAAAGGCGGCAAAAAGACCCTACTGTAGACTGCAAACCCCATAAGAAAGAAAGAGCAGCAGATGCAGCAGATCCTTTAGACAGAAACTCTCCCAACAACGCCATTCACGAGGAGCCCAGCATTTTGCCGCCTCCCGAACCTTTTGCTTTATTTCCTTCTTTACCTCCACTGTGCTTTTCTCTGGCTCCTTCTTGGCATGCTTTGCCAGCTCCTGCGCTCAGCTGGATGGGCAACAAGATGTCAGAGCATGCATACTCTCAGCCTGAAAGCCTCAGGGGCCCTAGGGTTTAGGGTTTATAAGGGTTAAGGGTTAAGGGTTAAGGGTTTAGGGTTTAGGGTTTAGGGTTTAGGGTTTAGGGTTTAGGGTTTAGGGTCCGCCGACCCTGGCGACGTGTTGGATGGGAAAAGGAGGTGAAAACCTCCCTCTTTCCCTCCTTACCCCCCCAAAACGCGGGGGGGGGGGGGGGGGGGGGGGGGGGGGGGGGGGGGGGGGGGGGGGGGGGGGGGGGGGGGGGGGGGGGGGGGGGGGGGGGGTGGGGGGGGTACCCGGGCAGCTTTTCCATGGAGGGCCAGGCCACCCACACCGCATAAACTCACGGACCATAGGCGGTTTGGACGCTTATAGAATTTACTAGTTCGTTGCAACTGCTGCAACTTACTCCACGAAGTCAAGGGTAAGTACCACCTCATGAGACGCGCTCATTTCTTGACATTCCTTGTACGCGAGGTTCCGGATGCAGGAGTGAACTGGAAAGCTAGCTGTTGGATCGAAGAAGCTTCCCAACACCCAGGGAGTACCGTTTAGGGTTTAGGGTTTAGGGCTAGGGTTTAGGGCTTAGGTTTTAGGGTTAATAGGGTTTAGGGACCCCCTGGTTTAGGGCTTAGGGTTTACCGAGTTTAGGGACCCCAAGGCCCAAAGTTACAGCTCCTGCTTGACTTCTTGCTTTGTGCCAGCTGCGCCGGAGACATCCTGCGCCGTCTGCTGTAGGGTGCAATGCTGGGGTCTGGGAGCTCCCATGGGTTTAGGGTGTAGAGGGCTTAGGGGGCTTAAGGCTCAGAGTTGAGGGTTTAGGGTTTAGGGTTTAGGGTTTAGGGGAACTCTACACCATCCGACCCCCAGACCCTACACTTACTCGCTCTGAATTGGTCGCTAGGCACTTCTAGTCCCGTTCGAGGGGTCACATAGGGCACCTACTTAGATTCAGAAATCAGCACGTAGCTTCGGTGGATTTGGGCCCTAAACCCAAAACCCAAAAACCCCAAACCCTAAACCCTTGTACACGGGCTATCTGGGGATTTGGGCCCGGAGAAGGCAACTGCCTCTTGTTGTGGGGTTGGCTTAATCAGGGCTTGGGGTTTGGGGGTTGGGGTTTATAGGGTTCCCCGAACCCAAGTCCTAGGCCCTATAATCCCAGATGCTGTGGCGGTTGCCTGGCCTGCTCCTTCTTGATGTAGCCACTCAGAAGCGGGGAGACATTGTCAACCTGCCCCGGGAGCATTGCTGTGTTTAGGGCACACGGTGGCCCCGCCCTCATTATCTCAAAGAGACCGGCCACCATGTATCACCTTTGGAAGTCATCTACGCTGTCACCCCCGTAAACCCTTAACGCGTAGGTTTACACCCTCCTCCCAAACCCGCACTCAGGGATGGAGGCCAGCACCCGAGGGGGAGGTCGCCTAAAGAACAAGAGCCGACGCCCGAATGGCCCGAAGAATATCAGCTGCCACCCCAAAACCCTAAGCCCTAAGGGTTTGCTTGAGGGTTAGGGTTTGGGGTGTAGTGCCTAAGCCCTACCCTAAGGGCTTACTTAAAGGCTCATGGGTACGTTTAAGTAGGGTTACAAGTGGGGTAACTATGGTTACAAACTTAGGTACCCATGAACCTCCAAGTAGGTTTTAGGGTCCGACATGTGAAGGGCTCAGCGTCAAACCTGACTCCGAGAGCCAGCGCTCGCATAGGGTTTAGGGCTCAGGGTTTAGGATTCAGAGTCTAGAGTTCAGGGTTCAGGGGTATCAAGTCTTGGGGTTAGGGTTTAGGGTTTAGGGTTTAGGGTTGAGGGTTGAGGGTTGAGGGTTTAGGGTTTAGAGGTCTTAGGGTCGGGGCTTTGGGATTGACCGTGGGGATTCAACACCGTTTTTTCCACCAGGGCTCCAAGCATGGACAGAATTACTTTCTTTAGATGTCCAAATGCCATCTAAGCCTTCAGTACCCCTCATTATCATCCCCATTAAGGACTCCTAGTATAAGGGGGAACATCCCAAGCTTAGAGTTTGGGATTCGCTCTGTAGGTCACAGTTCAGCCCAACCTGTTGGCAAGCTCTATCTAAGCTCTGAAACTCCAAGCCACTACAAGCCCAAGCCTCCCAACACTAAACCCTAAACCAGGACCAAACCCTGAACCCTAAGGGCCCTAAACCGCCTAAACCGCCTACAAACCTGAACCCCCCTCACAAAAAATCCGCAAGACCCAAAAGACCCTAAAGCCCCTACTTAGCGCCTAGGGTTTTGGTGTCTGTAGGGTTTGGGGACCTTACATGCCCTACAAGTAACCCCAAACCGGATCAGGCCTGCCGTTGCTTGCGCACGTGCTCTCGTTGTGGTTTGGCCAGCTTGATCGAGAGCACCGTCACCTAAGGGTTTGGGCAGAAGGGTTGGGCATTTTCGGGCACTGGGCTTGGGTCTTGAGGGCTTACAGGTTCGGGGGTAGGGTTTGAGGCTTGGGCTTTGGAAGCCCGAAGGTCCAGTCTTCAGGGGGTCTTCTGGGCTTAGGAGGATTCTGGTTCCTGTGGGGTTGGGGATTTCGGGGTTTCGGGGTTTCGGGCTTTTGAGTAAAAACCCTTGCGCCCTGACATTTCATCCCTATTGGCTTCAGTACCAGAAAGACCGAGGACAAAGGTTAGGGTTGACGCTTGGAGTTTAGGGTTTAGGGTACAGGGTTCAGGGTTTGGGGTTTAGGGTGGGTTCGCCAAACGACAACCGAGTCGCATCAGGCGCCACCGCGGGCGCCATCTCTGCAACTGGGCAAAATCCGGGCCGCTGAATGGCTGCGAGATGCGGGCTTCAAAGAGAATTCGACTATACGGCATTCGCTGTTTCCCGGAGAGGCCCGAAGTAACATAGGCCCAAGAATCCTTTGCACCCAAACCCTAAACCCTAAACCCGAATTCGCGCTCGACGATTGTTTGCCACGCTCCGCACGCTCAAAGCTGAGAGCACCTCCTTCTGAAGGGTTTAAGAGCCCTGGGTTTAGGGCCACCGCGAAGCAACAATCTATATGGACACTCGACCTGCAACACCCGAAACCATAAAAGGCTGGAGGACGCCGAGATAGGGTTTAGGGATCATAGTAGGGGTTTAAGGGTTTAAAGTTTAGGGATTAAGGGCTTGAGGGCTTCAGGAAAGTGCCCCTGCACTTCTGCCTTAGGGCAAGCGGCAGCCTGTTTCTGCTCTTACTCCCCTTCGCGCCGAACCTCCCTAAACTCTCCGCAATCCTAAATAACCCTAAATAACCCTACATAACACTAAATAATCCTAAATGACCCTAAATGACCCTAAATAACCCTAAATCCAAAAAAACACCGAAACGCAGACATGGCACCCTTGGGCCGTTTAGGGGACCCTCAGGCGCCTTTCACGGGGACTCTGAGGGGGCTTCGAGGGCTTCTCTTGCACTCAGGGCTTGTAGGGTTTGGGGGCGCTTCCCAGGCCATGATGAGGTGGGTTTAGGGTTTAGGGTTTAGGGTTTAGAGTTTAGGGTTTAGGTGCTAGGGATTTTAGGGTTTTGGATTTAGAGGCCATGAGGGTTTTGCAGTTGCAGGTTTCGGGGCTTCGGGCTGTTTAAATCCTTTGTCCATGTCTGTGCAGGCTTTGCCAACGTCACCACTGCGATGCCACTCCCTACACACCCAGCCTCAGCAAGCAAGTAAGCAGTGCTTACATGCAGGATCCCTGCCTTCCGGTGCGACTGCATTGCTATGGTGATGGAGTCTATAGCTGCCTGCAGAATACCATGCAAGGCAGGGATCCTATAGTGAGAGAGAGATGCGATTAAAACTTGCCACTCGACCACACGAGTGGCGGCCCTAAGTGCGGCGACTTGCTTATCAGGAGGACGCCCCTCCTCGGCCGTCAGCGCTTTGGAGCTCGGTCCGCCCGCTCCCTCTCCTTCTCCTGCTGCTTGCGCCAGGCCACCGCCTGCTTCCAGGCCTTCTCCACCTCCTTCTCCGAGAGGTCCTTGGGCCGGAACCTCATGTGCCTAGTCCTGCCACCGACAAGGCTTCGCGCATGCCAGGCCTTCTCTCCGAGGACCCACCTCACCCCCTTCTCCGGCCCGAGCGGCTCGAAGTGCGGGACCTCCGCGAGCCGGTCCACCGGCACCACCTCGCCCTCGGCTTGGACCCCGAGCTTCTTGGCCAGCTCCCGCGCCTTGGCCTCGGCCTCCGCCAGCGTCTTGAACCTGCCGCCTTCTGCGTACTTCTTCGTGCCTGGCTTGCGGATTTGGACGTAGAAGGTTCCGTCCGACCGGAGCTTGATGCCCCTCACCGTGGACCCGGAGGCTTTGCCAGTGACGGGCTTCGGGGGCTTCAGCTTGCCCCGGCGCACCAGCTCCTCGCGGTGCGCCTTGGCCTCCGCCAGCGCGGCCGCCACCGCCTCGTCCTCGGAGAGGCCCTCCTTCATGTGTTTGGAGATGAAGAAGTTGAGATTTCGTGGCCTGCCGGCTTCCTGCCACTTCACTCGCCAGCTCGCCTTTGCTAGGTGCCAACTGATGTTTGGCACCCCGCTCTGGCGCTCCAGGCCGCGGAACTTCGTCGTAATAACCTGGCCGGCGGCCCCGGAGCTGCTCGGAGCCGAGGCGCCGGCGGTTTCCTGGCTTTCCTCTGGCACAGTGCCGAAGGCCTCGAAGATCTCGAGGCCCTTCATGGCGGAGCCGCCGCCCGTGGGCGAGAGCCTGCGCATGCCGTCCTCCTCCACCAGCCAGCCGTGGCCGGCCCAAGCCCGCGTCGGAAGGTCGTGCATCCAGGGCCACATCTTCATCATCTCGGCTGCGCGGTGCTGCTTCGCAGCTGGATCCTGCAAGTGCTCAGGTTTGGGACCGTGCGCCTTCTCTACTGGCCCTGAGCCGCCGGGGTCCTTGCCGTGATCATTGAAGAGGGCATGGTGTGGGTACTCGTGGAAGAAGTCGCGGAACTCGCAGAACTGCACCTTGCTGAGGCGCTGCACGCAGGCCGTGGCCTTATCCTCCGAGCATCCTTCCCACGCGGCAGCTGCCAGTCCGAGGAACGGGCTGGCGGGGCAGCAAGGCTTCGTGGGCAGCCACGTCTTGCCAGAGCTTTGAAATGCTAGGCATTTCTCGGCCCACTCTGGCAGTCGCGACTCAAACGATGGAGGCGAGATGTCTGGCCTCTTGTGACTGATGCGACGCCTCTTGCTGGCACGAACACACACAGCCTCTTCGGCTTCTTCCTGCTTGACCGAGAACGTGGGCTCGGCTTCCTCCACACACTCCCGCTTCACTCTGGTCCTGAGCGAACTTCTGCATTGAACTGTGCGCATGGCTAGCCGGTTGTTACACATGCTGCCATGCAAGATTCCATCTTTCAAGGTGTGGATTCCGGCTTCTTTCATTACCGCGGACAGGCGTCACAGCGTTCAAAAGCTTGGAAGGAGCCCTATATGCTTTGCCCAGGTGGTTGGATGACTGCTTGTGGTGTGCAAGGGCTTGGGGTTTGTCTCTTAGAGTGGGAGTATCAGAAACAAGTACTTCGGACATCTTGTCGTCTCTCGGAATTACCTTGCCATCTTGCAGCTTCCGCACAGCCCGGAATACAGCAGCCATGTCTGCAAACGTCAAGAAAGCTGTTGCACACGAAAGCAGCATCCACAAGAGTTGAGTCTCAGAAGAACTGCCCGTTTTTGTTTTTCCATCTTAAACGCTCCGACCTGAATCCCAGACAAAGCTGAGCAGCGTCTGGCTGCTCCATGTGAGGTCCTGAAACAAACGGTCTCTGCATCCCGAAACTTGCATTGGCGGTGTGGATTCCTCTGTCACTGTTACTTGCTATTATGTTTCCCCAACTGCGGTTAGACATTCAACTGCAATGCAAACTAGCAGGCAGCCTCCCGCTTGATCTCGCGCTTCACTTCTTGCTTTACCTCTTTCTTGATCTCCGGCAACACCTCCTCTGGGAACGCACGCAACACACGGCATGAGGTTCTCATGCTCACCGAGACGACGGCGATATGTTCTACTCATCAACGCTTTAACAATCGTGAGCGATGGATGCCTCGTTATGAGCATTCGGTGCAAGGCTCGAGGACTACAGTCTAGTCTTACAAAAAAGGAAATTCTCGAAAACAACAGAGTAGACTCTGGCCGGCCCACACATAAATGATTTGATATTATTTGAGAGTCTCGTAAAACTTAAGAATTCGCCCTGTTCAACTCCCTTCTCCCCTGAAGAACCTCCTCAACGCCTTCGGGGGGCCAACTTCTGCAGGTTTTCTTTGTTTTTCAGGCCGACAGTCCACATTGAAAAGCGCAGGATTTGAAGAGCTCACCCGGGTGTAGGGTTTAGGGTTTTATCGGGTTTAGGGTCTAGGGTTTAGGGTTTGATCGGGTTTAGGGTGAACGCTTCAAGTCTCGGGCTTTTCACTTTCATTCCCCCCCAGGGAGCCGATTCTGGGCCTTTTTGGTGGGACGCTGACTAGGGTTTAGGGTTTAGGGTTTAGGGTTTAGGGTTTAGGGTTTAGGGTTTAGGGTTTAGGGTTTAGGGTTTAGGGTTTAGGGTTTAGGGGAAGGCTCTTTCGGACCCCCCTACTGGGACTCCAACTTACTTACTTCACCTCGGGGTTTAAGAAACCTCTTTCAAGCCCTCTCTAGGACTCCAACTTTCTTACTTCAACTTGCGATTTAAGAAGTACCTGAAACTCTAAACAGGTCTTGCAGCTTTCTTCTGAGATCAAGTTCGACGGCAGGCCCAATATCCAGCAATCCTACACCAAGCCCACGCGAGGGTGATGCGGCTACCAGCTATCCCTTAGGGACGAAATGAACCCTAAAATTGGGGTCATATACCCTGAGTACTATAATTCCAATTAAGGTATGTGAACCATAAACCCTTTTAGGGTTCATTTAGTCCCCAAGGTCAGGGGGTGCAAAGGTTGGTGCATGAAGCGCCTCCTCCATCACCTCGTCCTTCACCTCCGTCTTCACTTGCTTCACGTCCTCCATCACCTCTTCCTAGGCTGCCCAGTAACCTAGGCTTAAAAAGGGTGCCCTTTTTGGCTTAAAGGGGTTTATAAGGGAACCTAAACCCCCCAAAAAAGGGAATAAGGGTACCACTGGGCATCCTAGCTTCTTTCACCTCATCCTTCACCTCCTCCTTCGCATGCTCCTTCGACTCCCCCTTCACCCCCTTTACTTTACCCGATTCGCTCTCCTCCTTAACCTTTTGCGTCCCCCTCATAGTCGTCTCCCGTTTCACCTTGCACGTCCCGTTCTTTACTTCCTCCTTCACATCCATGCTCGACGGGCTTTTCGTAACTCTTGCCGCCTGCTCCTGCATGTCGCTCTCCACCTGCGGCGGGGGAAATATCGAACGGATGTGAAGGACGTCAAAAAGCCCTACTGTTGACAGCTAACACCATAAGAAACTGGGAAAGAGCCGCCGATCCCTTGGCCAGACACTCCCCCCAACAACCGCCATTCAAGAGGAGCCCGGCATCTTGCCGCCTCCCGAACCTCTTGCTTTATTTCCTTCTTTACCTCCACTGTGCCATTCTCCGGCTGCTTCTTGGCATTCTTTGCCAGCTCCTGCACTCAACTGGATGGACAACAAGATCTGCCAGAGTCCGCAAACCCTCAGCCTGAAAGCCTCAGGGGCACTATAAAGGGGTGGGGTAAAGGGCCACACCCCCCCTGCAAACACGAAATCCCATGTCCCGAGCCCTAAACCCGAATTGCCACAAACCCAACCTTAGGGACGAAATGAACCCTAAAATTGGGGTCATATACCCTGAGTGCTATAATTCCCATTAAGGTATGTGAACCATAAACCCTTTTAGGGTTTATTTAGTCCCCAAGGAATGCCCTAAGCCATGAACCCGTCTAGACCCTAAACCCGAAACCCTAAATCCTAGTTAAACTCTTGCGCGCTGAAGGCTTGCGCCCCGCTATGCCCAGTCGGGCACAGGGGCGCCATGAGGCTACGAGGCCACAGATTACGACGCAGAGCCAGGGCAGCGAGTCAAAAGCCGGAACTCGAACAACGAATCCCTGGTTTAGGGTTTAGGGCTAGGGTTCAGGGCGTAGGGTTTAGGGTTTAGGGCTTAGGGTTTGGATTTTTTGGGTAATAGGGTTTAGGGAGCCCCTGGCTTAGGGTTTAGGGTTTATCGAGTTTACGGACCCCAAAGCCTAAACTCGCAGCTCCTGCTTGACTTCTTGCTTTGTGCCGGTGCCAGTGACATCCTGTGTCGTCTGCTGCAGGGCAGGTGCCGGGGTGCGGGAGCTATCATGGGTTTAGGGCATATGGGGGGGGAGGGGGGGTTAGGGTTTAGGGTTTAGGGTTTAGGGTTTAGGGTTTAGGGTTTAGGGTTTAGGGTTTAGGGTTTAGGGTTTGGGGTTTGGGGTTTGGGGTTTAGGGTTTAGGGTTCAGGCTTAAGGATCAGAGTTGAGGGTTGAGGGTTCAGAGTTCAGGGGAACTCCACACCATGGGGTTTGGAAGCCTCTATGGGTTTAGGGTGTATAGAGATATAGGGTTTAGGGCTTGGGCTTCGGGTTTGGGGTTTAGGTTTAATGTTCAGAGTTGAGGGTTTCGGGTAGGGTTTAGGGGAACTCTACACCATCCGACCCCCAGACCCTGCACCTGCTCTTGCTCTGCTGAATGGGGTGTTAAGGAAGTAGGTATACTTGCCTTTGAGGGCCACATGGGGCACCTGGCTTTCTCTGGGTGGATTTGGGGGCCCCTATGCAAGTACAAATTCAATTTAATTTCGAAAGGCCCTAAACCCTCAACCCCAAACCCCAAATGGGTTATATGGGGCTTTGGGCCCAATGAAGGAGTCTTACCAGGACATGCATCTGGGTTGCGGTGGGGATGGGACATCTGTGGGTTTAGGGATGAGAGCTTCAGGGTTTGGACTTTAGGGTTTGGGTTTTGTGGCTTGGGATTTCGGGTTCCCCGAGCCCAAGTACTAGACCCTAATCCCAGATGCTGTGGCGGTTGCATGGCCTTCTCTTTCTTGATGTAGCCACTCACAAGCGGGGAGACATTGTCAACCTGCCCCGAAACCCTAAACCCTAAACCCTAAACCCGCAAAGTCCCTAAACCAGGGCACAAGGTGCCCCCCCCCACCCCCCCTCATAACCTCAAAGAGGACCGGCAACCATGTATCACCTTTGGAGTCATTTAGGGTTTAGGGTTTAGGGTTTTGGGTTTAGGGTTTAGGGTGTACGCTTGCACCCTTCACCCAAACTTGCACTCAGGGACAGAGGCCAGCACCCGAGGGGGAGTTCACCAAAGAACAAAAGCCGACTCCCGAATGGCCCGAGGAAGGCTCAGGATTTAGGGTTAAGCCCTACCCTAAGGGTTTACTTGGAGGTTCATGGGTACGTATAAGTAGGGATGTATGTAGCGTAAGTATGGTGACAACCTTAGTCAGGGTAGACACGTAACCCTACTTATACGTACCCATGAACCTCCAAGTAGGTCTTAGGGTCTAGGGCTTGCAAGGCTATCGGGTCTAGTAGGTGAGAAGTTCCGAGATGTGAAGGACTCAGCATCAAACCTGACTCCGAGAGCCAGCGCTCGCACTTTTCGGGTTTAGGGTTTAGGGTTTAGGGTTTAGGGTGAGGATTCCACACCGTTTGGTACACCAGGGCTCTAAGTATGGACATACTAGCTTTCTTTAGATGTCCAAATGCCATCTCAGCCTTGGTTGAGGTTTAGGGTCTAGGAGTTTAGGAATTGGGGGTTTTAGGGTTTGGGATGTTACCCCTTATACTAACAGGCCTTAATAGGGATTAATAGTACCCCTTATTCTCATCCCAATTAGGGACTGCTCCCAAGTTTTCGAGTTTGGGATTCGCTCTGCAAGTCACAGTTCAGCCCAACTTGTTGTCAAGCTCAACCTAAACTCTGAGACTCCAAGCCACTGCAAGCCCAAGCCTCAAAAAACACTGATTAACCCTAAACCCACAACCCAAAACCCTGAACCCTAAGGGCCCTAAACCTCCCAAGCCCCTACAAACCTGAACCCCCCCCCCCCCCCCCCAAAAAAAAAAAAAAAAACAAAAAAAACACCGCAAAACCCAAAACCTAAAGCCCGCTACTTAGCGCCTAGTGTTTCGGGGTGTAGGGCTTGGGGGACCTTAAATGCCCTGCAAATAAAACCCAACCCGGATCAGGCCTGCCGTTGTTTGCGCAGGCGCTCTCGTTGTGGTTTGGCCAGCTTGACCGAGAGCACCGTCACCTCAGGGCTTGGGCTTTCCGGCCGGGCATTTTCGGGCTCTAGGGCTTGGGGTCTAGGGTTTAGGTTCAGGCTGATATAGGCCTTGACGGCTTACGGGTTTCGGGTGTAGGGTCTGAGGGTTGGGCTTGGCAGGCTTGAGGTCCAGGTCTTTGGGGTCTTCTGGGCTTAGGAGGATTCTGTTCTGGTTCCTGGGGTTGGGGATTTAGGGGTTTCGGGCTTTTGGGTGCAGCGTTCAAGGGCCCGCATCCTAAACCCTCAAAACCCTTGCGTCCTGACATTCCATCCCGAGTGGCTCCAGTACCAGGAAGACCGAGGCCAAAGGCTAGGGTTGAAAACTTCAGGCTCAGGGTTCAGAGTCTGGGGGAGGCTTCGCCAAACGACAGCCGAGTCGCATCAGGCGCCACCGCCGACGCCATCTCTGCAACTGGGCAAAGTCCGGGCCGCTGAATGGCTGCGAGATGCGGGCGTCAAAGAGCTACCCGGAGAGGCCCGAAGTAACATAGCAGGAATCCTATGAACCCAAACCCAAACCCTAAACCCCAAACTCAAAACTCAGCTGAGAGAAGCTCCTGCTTTGGGCTTAATTAGTAAAGGGTTTCGGGTAGAGGGCTTAGGGCTTAGGGCCCTACAGTAGTAAGCCCTACCGTTTCCTTACAGGGTTGAGGGTCACCTAGCCAGAACACCCAAACCCAAAACCCACCTGAACCCTGAACCCTAAACCGCGCTTCAAGCTTCCGGGCTAGCGACTTCGGGTCTCTGCTCAGGACTTCGGGTTGAAGCCCGAAACCCTAACCCCACAACAAAAAGTGGTGGTACCCTAAACCCTAAATCCTAAACCATAAACCCTAAACCCAAAACTTCCCCATGGCTTCGGGGGCGTTCGAGGGCCCAAAGGGCCATCATCACCCTAAACCCTAAACGCCGAGAAGCCATCATCACTTGCCGCGCTGCGCGGCGCAGCGCCCGCCGCGCGTGGTTGTCCAGGATCTTGATGCGGAGATCGAAGGCATAGGGGTCCCCTGGCTCTCGGGTTTAGGGTTTAGGGTTAGGTTTTAGGTTTAAGGGGTCCCCTGGCTTTGGGGCCTTTCTTCGGGTAGTAGGGTTTTAGGGTTTAGGGTTTCGGTTTTTGGTTGTTAAACCTTTTAGGGTTGTAGGGATCAGGGTTTAATTAGGGGTTTTCGGAGTTTAGGGGGAGCGTTTCGGAGCGTGGGGGCTTTCAGGGGTTTCCCTAAAACCCTAAACCCTAAACCCTAAGCCCTAAACCCTAACCCCTAAACCCTAAGCCCTAAATCCAAAACTACCCTAAATTTGGGTTTCGGGGCCAACCCGAACTGCGCCAACCCGAAACCCAAAAGCCTCTTGGCTGACACCTCAAGCAGGCTCGGCTCTCCAGGTTTTAGGGTTTAGGGTTTAGAGTTTAGGGTTTAGGGCAAATAAGATCCATGTGAGGAGAATACAATAACATGTTCAGGACTTAGGTCAGAACCCGCCACCCTCTACTTTGTTGCAGGTTATGGCCATGAAGACCCTTGCATGCTGCCGAAAATGAGTTTTTGGGTTCTCAGTAGAGGTAAATCAGTTTGGGGTTTAGCTTGGGGGTGCTTACATCCCAAACATCCTACATAAACCCCAATGGAAAACCCCCAAAACCATCAATTTCTGATGCTGGGGGCACGTCGGCATGGCGTGCTAGTAGGGTCAGGGGTAGTTGTTTCTGAGTTTGCTTTTGACATGAGGGTTTAGAGTTCAGGGTAGACCAGAACAAGTTCCGGAAAGGTGCGTCTTGGCAATGGCGCCTATGATCGTTCCCAGCTCGCTCTGGACGTAGTCATCCCAGATCTGCTTCTCCTGGCTCAAGACGATATCCCCCGAAACCCTACGCCCCAAGCCCTAAACCCTAAATCCAAAACCCTAAACCCTGAACCCTAAAATCCTAAACCCTTACTAAACCCTAAAACGTAAACCCTAAACCCTGAACCGTTACTCCTGGCTTCTAAGCCCCGAAGGTCACGGAGCACCTGTGCACTGCAAGACACGGAAGCATGGAGACCTCTTGCGAGCGAGATCCCCGATTCCGAAGCCCTGAACCCGAAAAGAGTTTAGGGTTTAGGGTTTAGGGTTTAGGGTTTAGGGTTTAGGGTTTAGGGTTTAGGGCCCAACCTCTGAACAAGCGTAAACTAAAAGCCCGAACAGAGTTTAGGGATTCGGGTTCAGGGTTTGGGGTTTAGAAGAAAACCCCAAACCCACTGCCCCTAAAACCTACAAAGTCCTTAAGCTTTAGCGCGCAAAGGGACGTACGATGCAGGGCCAGGGATGTGGGGTAGTTCCCTTGTATTTAGGCTTTTAGGGTTGTAGTAGGGTTTAGGGTTTAGGGTTTAGGGTTTAGGGTTTAGGGTTTAGGGTTTAGGGTTTAGAAAGAACACCTTAGAGCCAATCTCGGGGCCTGAGCACCCCGGCCGGTAAAGTTCCGCACCTGAATTTTCGGGTTGAGGGTTTAGGGCTAGAGTTTAGGGTTTAGGGTTTGGGGTTTAGGGTTTAGGGCTAGGGTTTAGGGTTTCGGGTTTAGGGTTTCGGCCGTGCGGTGTAGGGTTTCGGGTTCAGGGACCTAAAAATCCTACCTTGATCATCCTACCTTGCCGATCTTGCAAAAAGGAGCGGGGTCAGGCTTGGGTTTTAAGGCTTAGGGTTGGATGTTCCCCCTTAGACTAGCAGTCCTTAATGGCTTGGTAGCACAGTAACCACATATTCTAATGAGGGTACCCTTTTTGGGGCTGGCCACTTTATAAGGGTACCTTGAACCGAAAACAGGGAAAAGGGTACCACTGGGCTCCCAAGATAGGGATGATAGTAGCGTTTAGGGCTAGTCTAAAGGGGGAACATCCCAAGTTTAGGGTTTAGAACTTAAAGGGTGTCAGCTTAGGGTTTCGGGTTTAGGGGGTTTTGCGTTTTGAGGCTCTTAAGCCAACCCTCAAAAAGCCCTGAGCCCTGAACATGGCTTCAGGCGTTCCAGGGTTTAGGGCTTGTAAGGAGCTTGTACTACATATTACTATATATTACTATATATTACTATATATTACTATATATTACTATATATTACTATATATTACTGTATATTACTATATATTACTGTATATTACTATATATTACTATATATATATATATATATATATTACTCTCTACATATATGGAGTTTAGGATTAGGGTCTGTAGGGTTTAGGGCTTACGTTTTGGGTTTGGGGCCTAGGGTTCAGGAGCCAACTCGGGGTCTCCGCTAGCAAAATGAGGCTTTGTACGGTTCTACCACTTAGGGGGGCTTATAGCTAAACCGAAGGAGGCTTAGGCTCTGCAAAGCCGAAACGCCCAACAATAAACCCTGATCCCTGAAGCCCGAGCCCTTAACTATACCCTAAACCCGCTAAACCCCTATTCCGCCTGTCACTAAACCCCCACAACCCCTAGGCCCTCAAACCCTCCGAATCCTAGACCCTGAACCGGCTGCTACCCTGGCACGGCTGCGACCAAGGCCTCACGCGTTGAGGCCTCTCTCAAGAAATTATAGAGCTTAGGGTCTTACGGGCTTAAGGGCTTTGGGGCTTGGGGGTGTAGGGTTTAGGGGTTTATGTAGCCTCTTAGGGGTTTTGACGGGTAGGGTTTAAAGTTTTGGGGTTTGAGGGCCCTAAACCCTAAACCCTAAACCCTAAACCCTAAACCCTAAACCCTAAACCCTAAACCCTAAACCCTAGGAGTCTCCCAGGACCTGCTGAGTTGAGTCGAGGCTCTGCTGGGTTCGGGGGGGGGGGGGGTAGCAAGGCCTGGAACCTGGGGTGCAGATGTTCTGGCTATGGGGTCCATGGCAGCAGGGGTTTAGGGTTTAGGGTTTAGGGTTTAGGGTTTAGGGTTTAGGAATGAATTCGCGTTTCTAATCGGGACTCGGCCAATGGTTTCGCTGCCTGGGAGGGGGCCTTCCCGCGCGAATGGGTACTGCGGGTAGAGGGTCTAGGGACTGCCTCAGAACTACCTTAAGCCTTAAGAACCCAAAGCCTGCTCTTTTTTGCAGGGCTCTTGTTCCAACACCCCTACAGGGTTTTTAGGTAACCTACAAGTTGGTTTTTGATTCTTAATTGCAGGGTTGAGGGCTTGGTTTGGGGCTTACCCTTAGGACAGGTTTAATTAAGGAGGACCGCCGTGGCTGGAGGTGTGCAGCCTCCTCCTCCACCCCCTGCGGCCGGACCTCTTTCTTGGTCACCTACTTGGGAGGTTCAGGGTACTTAGTAACCCAGCTATCGCTAAGTAAGGGCTTTACGTTCACGACCTACAAGAAGGTGTTAAGGTCAACCGTCGACCATATACAACACCACATGCAGGGCAGGGTTTATAGGGCTTAGGGCTTCGGGTGTTTAAGGTTTTCGGGTTGTTCAGGGTTTTCAAGGCTTTTCGGGTTTAGGACTTAAAAAGCTTCCAGCGAACGTGGCGGAGTCGGGATGTAGCAATGTAGCTAGCTCAAGTTCACACAGCTGGGGCCGCAAATCAGAATGTCTTGGCCTTTGGGCCCGCAACGCTCTCCTTGCGCAATCTGCAGCACACCTTGCCAGTTGCGATTTCCTTATACAGTCCGCCACCAGGACACCTAAGTCCTCCCCATGGGCGTGCCGGATGAAGCTTCTGATTCCGGTGCCAGTGAGAGGTTCGGCATTTCGCGCTCCGTAACCCTTCGCCCAGGACCCTAAACCCTAAATGTACCCCAAGCCCTGAATCCCCAACCCCACAACTCCTGAACCCTACATGTACCCCAAAAACCCAAAGCCCTAACCACCTGAACCCTAATCACATGGTACTCATGAACCAACTATAACTGTAATTGTAACCATATTTGGGCACTTAGGGGGGCTTCTCAGAGGGTCATTAGTACAGTTATCATTGGTTAATAAGTACCATGAACCTCCCAGTAAACGACCCCAAACTCTCTATACCCCTAAACCCTAAACCCTAAACCCTAAACCCTAAACCCTAAACCCTACATCCTAGAAACCCTAAACCCATGGCTTGGGGTTCAGGGTTTGTGTCGGCCCTGCGCGCGCCTGGACTTCCTCTGTGTCGTCGTCCTGTGTCTAAGAAGGCGGCTTCGGGTTGTGGGTTGTGGGTTGTGGGTTGTGGGTTGTGGGTTGTGGGTTGCGGGTTTAGGGTTCCTGGGTCTAGGAAGGCCTAAGGTCAGGGTTTAGGATTTGGGCTTCTTGGGCCTGCGAGGTAGTGGCACTCACGACCCTAAACCCTGAACCCTATCACGAAGATCCCCTCAAAGCACAGGCCTCACTTTCTTCAGGCCAAGGACAACACCGCTGTCTGGTCGCATGAGTTTGAATGGGAGCAGTTGGAGAACAAACTGTGATATTCAGAAATATTGTCGTTGGAATTTTTC